AGGCTGAGGCAGGAGAATTGCCTAAACCCAGGAGGCGGAGGTTGCGGTGAGCCGAGATTGCGCCATTGCACTCCAGCCTGGGTAACAAAAGTGAAACTCCGTCTCCACAATGTGATACCACCTTACTCCTGCAAGAAAGGCCATAATCAAAAAATTATTAAAAAAAAAAAAAAATGTTGGCACGTATATAGTGAAAAGGGAACACTTCTACACAGCTGGTGGAAATGTAAACTAGTGTGAAGATTCCTTCAGGAATTAAAACTATCCAGCAATCCCACTACTGAGTATCTACTCAGAGGAAAAGAAGTCATTATACAAAAAAGATACTTGCACACACGTTTATAGCAGCACAATTCACAATTGCAAAAATGTGAAACAGCTGAAATGCCCATCAATGAATATATTAAAGAAATGGCATTTGCAGCAACCTGGACAGGATTGGAGACCATTATTCTAAGTGAAGTAACTTAGGAATGAAAAACCACAAATTGTATGTTCTCAATTGTAAGTGGGAGCTAAATTATGAGGGTGTTAAGGCATAAGAATGACACATTCATTGTATCATTCTTATGGAGACTCAAGGGGAAAGGTTAGGAATAAGGTGATGGATAAAATACTACAAATTGAGTTCAGTATATACTGCTAGGGTGGTGGGTGCAACAAAATCTCACAAATCACCCACAAAAAACTTATGTAACCCAATACCACATGTTCCCCAAAAACCTATGGAAATAAAAAATTACAGCGTTAATAAATAAAATTATACACACACAAAAAAAGCCATAGGTTACTACTTAACACCGACTATGATGGTTATAATTTTAAAAACGAAAAAACAAGTGTTGGTGAGAATGCAGAAAATTTTTAGAACTTGATTACATTGGCGATGGAAATGTAAAATGGTACCATTTCTGTGAAAAATAGTTTGTGGTTCTTCAATGAGTTAAACATAAAAATAAAATATGACCTAACAGTTCCACCTCTGGGCTTGGATACAGGTGTTCAAAGAAAAACTTGTACATAAATGTTAAGAGGAGCACGATTTACAATAGTCAAAGGCTAGAAATAACCCAATTGTTCATCAACTGCTGAAAAGATAAACAAAATGTGATATCTTCATAAAATGGAATATTATTCAGCTACAAGAAGCAGGAATATGGATACATGCTACAGCATAAATTAACCTTAAAAACATTACGTGTTTAATTTTAAGTGGAAAAAAGCCCGACACAAAAAGCCATTTTGTATGATTAATGTCTAGGCTATGCAAATCATGGAGACAGAAGAATAGATTAGGGATTGTCAGTGGTTGGAGAGTGGCTGGTTAGTTGGAACAGAATGAACTTTGGATACTTAATGGAAGAGTAGAAGGAGTGATGGATAAAAGACTGCATATTGAGTACAGTGTACAGTGCTTAGGTGGTGGGTGCACTAAAGTCTCAAAAATCACCACCAAAGAATGTATGCATGTAACCAAAAACCACTTGTATCCCCAAAATTATTGAAATATGTATGTATATATATATATATATGTATAAATATTAGTTGATTGCAGCATTAATCATAATAGCAAAGACATGTGATCAACCTAAATTGTCATCAATGATGGACTGAATACAAAAAATGTGGTACATATACGCCATGGAATACTATGCAGCCATAAAAAAGAACAAGGTCATGTCTTATGAGGGAACGTAGATGGAGCTAGAAACCATTATCCTTAGCAAACGAATGCAGAATCGGAAAAAAATACTGCATGTTCTCACTTATAAGTGGGAGCTAAATGATAAGAACTCATACACACAAAGAAGGAAACAACATTTACTGGGGCCTACTTGAAAGTGGAGGTAGGAGGAGGGAGAAGAGCAGAAAAAATAACTATTGGGTATTTTGCTTAGCACCTGGGTGATAAAATAATCTGTACAAGTAACATCCGTGACAAGGGGTTTACCTATGTAACAAACCTGCACATGTACACTTGAACCAAAAATAAAAATTAAAAAATGGCAAAAACAAATAAATTGGGGGAAATTTAAAAAATTTCTCTTGGCTGGGCGAGGTGGCTCAAGCCTGTAATCCCAGCACTTTGGGAGGCCGAGGCGGGTGGATCACGAGGTCAAGAGATCGAGACCATCCTGGTCAACATGGTGAAACCCCGTCTCTACTAAAACTACAAAAAATTAGCTAGGCATGGTGGCGCGTGCCTGTAATCCCAGCTACTCAGGAGGCTGAGGCAGGAGAATTGCCTGAACCCAGGAGGCGGAGGTTGCGGTGAGCCGAGATCGCGCCATTGCACTCCAGCCTGGGTAACAAGAGCGAAACTCCGTCTCAAAAAAAAAAAAAAAAAAAATTTCTCTTTTATTCCATCTTCTTGGCCTCTCATTTGCAAACAGAGGTCCACATGCACCAATGTTTAGGACCATCACAAGTGGCATCCCAGAGGAATAGCAGTGCTGAGGGAGTTAGGCATTAAGGACATCACAGAGTATATTTATTCTTTGGGGACTTCAGCAAAAACTGGAAAGACCAAAAGACCTTTGAGATGGGGAGACTTTAGAGTTCAGAAATGACTTCCTGCTTTTTGAGCAATGCCCTATTTGCTGGGAGAAGATCATGAATTTGGGTTGAGGAGATGTTGAGTAGATGTTGAGTAGGTCTCCAGAGGCAATTCAAAAATTGTTAGTTGAATATTGACCCTGGACTCTATGTCATCTCTGTATCTGGAATGTCATTTCTGGCTACCATGAGCACAGAGTAGTAGCTGAATAAAGATTAATGTAATGAATGGCCATAGGAAGTACACTGACATGGTGAATATCATTCAAGAAAGGGCAGTCACTGTGTTTGCCTAGCAGGGCTGGAATTTAGGACTCTGTCAGTTATTCAAATAAAATGGGTGCCAGGCACATGGGAAGTCAATATAAACTCCAAGTCATTTTCTGCTCAGGAAGCCAGGGGTTCCAGGATAGTTTTTATCCACTCAGAGCACAAATTATGTGATTCCCCAAAAAATGAATTCCATGCTGGTGATAGGGTGTATGATCCTTTATCAAAAAGAGAAGTGACCAAGACTGTGACAGGGAAGGTGTAAGGAGGAGAGTGTACCCAATCAGAACACGAGAGCTTCCAGTGAGAGGGGAAGGAATTACATTCCATACTGAAAAGAAACAAGGAAAGGAGCATGAAGAGTGTCATCCACTGTGTGTTGGCACCTTAAGGTATCTGCATGCTAAGGGTAAGGGGAGAGGCATACCCATAAGTGAGGCTGGAGTTGCAGAAGCTATTGCAATGAACATGAGGAGAGAAATTAATGATTGAAATGACACCTGAGATGGTCCTTGCACACAAAGAGCCTATTTGGTGGGACTGTCTTTAATCTACCTTCATTGATTTTTAGGTAATATGTTGTTTTTCTTTTCCTAAGTGGCTCTCCTTACATGCTATGAAGCAGATAATCACAGCTCTTCTTGTTGGAAAAGAGCTGTCATTCTGCTATCTTGGTAGGAACTCCAGGAAGCTGAGAATGGAGGGTGAAGAGAAGTGCTGCAAACATTCCCAAAGAAAATGAAAATAGGTGTCTGGTTGGTTTCAGCAAAAATATGGAGTAGTGATTGCTGTCTATTTTATATTGCCCCTCTAAGATAGGTGTGTGATAATGTGTTTCTTTGGTCACCTCACAGACACCACATCCTGATTAGATAAGTTACTGCGCTTCGCTCTGAGCCTGTTCCTGTAATGGAATTGCCCTCAGAGATTCCTTACAGGGTTCGTGTTTTTGGTATGTGGGAAAGATATAAGCCAGTTGCATCTGAGTGAAACTAGTTGCCAAGAACGGTCCCTCATGACTACAGTCACAATAACCACAGCTTGTAGAGTCCTCTCCTTTTGATTAGGGCTGTGTGACTCACCTTGATCAATGTACTACCATAGAAGGGACACTGTCTGCCATTCAAAGGTAGGTCCTAGGATGCCATGCACCTTCTCCATGAGCCTTTCGAAAGGCTTTCTTTGGTGAAAGCCAATCACCATTTATTAAGTCCAAGAACTGTGAGGCTCTCATTATTTGAGGAAATTAAAGCAATGAATGGGAAGGTGAGGTAGTGAAGGAGATAACCATCCTGTTTTCAGGTGTTCACTCAGCCCTAGTGTTGAGTTGGACATGAGTAAAGCATTCTCTGAAATCCCAACCTAAAACATCTCTCAGAAAACTTGACTCCCATCACATGATCTAACACACGAGTTTAGTAACCTGTAAAGCTGGGAGAGATCAAAACAAATAACTGCTTTTAGCCAATATGTGTTAGGAGGTTTGCTATGCTGCACTTCATCACCGGAATAGCAGCAAAGCAGGGTCTGCTCACTATGTCCATATACATGAATTGTGTCAATTCCGGTAATAATCTACATGTTCTCTGCTCTAAAACCATGATCATTTATTTCCAAAGAGAAGCCCCTGGATTCTCCCCACATAAAATGAAAAAAAAAAATCTTCAAATATTTGCAAATAAGAATAATTTGGATTCTTTAAGGGATTCTCTTAATTATTACTTGGATTGAAAACTTCACATGCAAAACTTGTCATCTTTTTCTTCACTTCCTTCACACCAGGCCTCACAAAGCCAGGCACAGTGTTCATAGACAATAAGCATCCTGAGAACAGTGGGAAAAATTAAGAAATTCCACATAATTTTTCTCAAGTTATAGGTTCTACCCAAAGCCATCAAGTACACCTGCATGGCTGTAAACAGCTACCTAATTTTCAGTGCCGTAAGTCCTGAGATTGGGTAAGTATTTTGGTTTAGACTGTCTGATGTAAACTACAGGCTACAGAAGGATGCTGTTCCTAATGTCTTCTCAGACATTCCAGGGACCTTGTCACTCACTTCTTCACAGGAAGGTTTATCCCCTTTGATTTCCTGATGCCTCCCATAGAATGTGCTGGCCCCTTTTGGGAATGCCTACTTCCTCTTTCTTCTTCTTTAAGCAAGAACCAAATTATGTGAGGTTTCGTGCTGTTTTAATGACCAAGCATAGGGGAAGGGGTGAGGAGGGATTGTTAACAGGCTCTAGGAATACCATGGTCATATAGAAAAATGGATTCCTCAAAAATGAAAAGTGTGATCATCTCCCTCAATTGTAGACACACACTGAGGTCAGGGAGACATCTCTCCACACTTGAATCATCTTCACATGTGATGGTGGGTGTCGATGGGCAAAGCCGTAAATGTATTGCCCATTTACCTTTACCTACAAGAGGAAAAATGCATCAGACAGTATGCCACCAAACAAGTTTTCAGCTTCTTCACTCTGCCCTAGGACCAATAATATTTCCTAAGAAAACTCCTAGTTATACAAGTGAATGTGGTAGACACATTTCTGTTTACAGATGACATTTTGTGCCTATTGAGACAGTTGATGACTTTATTTCTAATGCTTCCTTTCATTTCTCTAGTGAAGTTCTACACTGTGTCACACAGTCCCTGTTAACTCAGCCTCCCTTCTAGCCTGGATGATCCCCATCACCAGAGCCTGTGTCTCAGGAACTTGAGACCCTGCATCTTGCACAGAGCCTGCCACAGGATTAGTGCTAGACCATGTCCGTTGAATGCATACTTTTCACTTCCATGAACTGTGACTGCCTTTTACTACGGATGGCACAGTTTTTCTTTGGAGTAGCCTACATCTGAGGTGGCAGTGGCAAAGAATGAAAGCCAGTGTTGTTAGAGAGTCAAAGGAGGACAGGTGTTGTAAAACACAGGATATTATCTTCAACCACTTCTAAGCACAGGAAAAGATCCCTCACTTGAATCTGAATAAAACGTGAATCTTTTGGCCTGCTCATTAGAGAAAGCCGGAAAGTATGGATATATTCCTTATACTGAAGCTATAGAGGAAGTCACCTTATTAGTATTAATTTTTCAAATTTAAGATGCACACATTTTTCAACAGTTTTTTCATTTTTTTGGTAATTATCTTCCAATATAAGTATTGGGAGGTTGGTAATGACAAAAGGATTGATTAGAAAACTTAATACAGCATCACTTGTGAGAGCAAAATGCTGGAAACAACTTTAATGCCCAAATTGGGTAAAGTTCAATAATTTTGAGTAAACTTTTTCATGCAATATTATTCAATCTTTAGAAACTAAAGCAGCACCATGGGTTGATAATGTCTTCAAGATATATTCTTTGACAACAAATCAACTTAGTTTCTAAAGTGTAATGTGTAGAGTAACTTATACCAGGATTTACTTAAAAACAAATGAAATCACAGACATATCTATATGCTTCCATAGGCAAAGATTTCCTCTGAAGGGTGGGCATGGTGGCTTACGCCTGTTATCCCAGTATATTGGGAGGCCGAGGTGGGTGGATCACTTAAGATCAGGAGTTCAAGACCAGCCTGGCCAACATGATGAAATCCTGTCTCTACTAAAAATACAAAAATTAGCCTGGTGTGGTGGCATGCATCTGTAATCCCAGCACTTGGGAGGATAAGGCAAAAGGATCGCTTGAATCCAGGAGGTGGAGGTTGCAGTGAGCTGAGATCACAGCACTGCATTCTCACCTGGTTGACAAAGTGAGACTCTATCTAAAAAAAAAAAAAGTTTCGGCCGGGCGCGGTGGCTCAAGCCTGTAATCCCGGCACTTTGGGAGGCCGAGGCGGGTGGATCACGAGGTCAAGAGATCGAGACCATCCTGGTCAACATGGTGAAACCCCGTCTCTACTAAAACTACAAAAAATTAGCTGGGCATGGTGGCGCGTGCCTGTAGTCCCAGCTACTCGGGAGGCTGAGGCAGGAGAATTGCCTGAGCCCAGGAGGCGGAGGTTGCGGTGAGCCGAGATCGCGCCATTGCACTCCAGCGGGGGTAACAAGAGCAAACCTCCGTCTCAAAAAAAAAAAAAAAAAAGTTTCTCTGAAGGAGTGCAGAGCTCTGGTAATGTTCTTATGAGTAGAATTGGGGCCCAAAAGTGATATGAAGGCTTAATTTTTGATGATTAAAACAACTTTTTTAAGTATATTGTATTTATTCAGCTTAAAGAAAATTTAATTAATGGCATAAGTAGAAAAGAGCACTGTGGGAAAAGACAGAGGAGAGTCTCTACTTTGGGGAAAATGGAAGGTGAGCTGACCTTGACCTTGGTCGGATTTGGGAAAGAGCTGAGGATGGCAGTGCAAGCAGAGGGCACTCTGTGATGAAAACCTGGGGCAGGAGTAGTTATGGGAGATGGGCCCTGAGGGGCTGGTGAGGCCGGGTCAGTGAGAGCTGCCTCCTGCTCTGGGGGCCCACAGAGCCTGGGTGCTGGGAGCTCCTGGAGTGCTCACCTCGTACTCACTGTGACGCACGTAGATGCGCAGGTCAAATGGTTCGCCATCCTCAAAGGGCACATAGTGTAATTTCTCTTCCAGCTTCCATACCCCAAACTCACGACTGTTCATGACCACACGATGGCCAAAGTGCACTCGGAAATGGAAGGCAATATCTGAGTCCTCATCCGTCCTAGTGTAGAAATCCACCTGCAGCTGTGGGTCATTGCTGAGGGCGAAGCACACAGCAGGTTGGGCAGGTCCCTCCCTTGCACAAACACCCAGACAAATCCCGTCCCCCCTTTACCCAGGGCAAAAGTCTCCCTGATGATACTGCATGCTTGGTCCCTGTGGGGATGCTTCAGCTCCTCATGCCCCCGGCAGGGAGATGCTGTGCTCCTCATCCCCAGATGAAAACTGAGCCAGTCACTGACCCGAGCCTGACTTGTTCATTCCCTGAAAATTCAATGCCCCTTGATGAAGAGCTCCAACTCCAACCCACTGAGTGTTCTCCTCCCCTAGGCCCCATGGCTGGCCCACATGCAGTTGCTGCAGGTCTGATGCCAGGTGCTGGAGGGTCTCCAGGACCTGCACCTGCATGAAGCCTCCATCCTGCCAGCTAGACATTTCGACATCACTCACACATAACATCAAGCCCTTAGCAAATATTCTCCCTTCTCCACCCCCTCCGTTGGACCGTGGAGTACTCACAGAAAAGAGAGGTTCGGTCTCCCTTTGATAATCACACAGGAACCAATAGACAAGGACACAGGAAGTTTGTATGGCACCTGCCAGGGTATTGAGGGCGAGTGAGAGGTGCAGGGTCAGGTGCAGCCTCCCCTCCTGTAACAGATTCCCATGGTGCAGGAGTTTAGAGATCAAAGGACAGACTCCAAGGCCTCCCCCTTTCACCCCACCACAGTCAGGGGCTCATATTCCTAAAGATACGGTGGACCCATACGTAAAAGCAAGAGTTCAGGATCCAGGATACCTGGATTCCGGTCCTCATTCTGCTTCCTCCTAGCAGTGCATCGTAGATCTGTTACATGAGCTCTCCTTGCTTCATTTTCCCCAGCACAAGGAAGATTATCAGGAATTCCTACTTTGTAGGATGTTCTCCGTAATAGAGGAGTTAATATATGTAAAACTTTTACCCTAATCCTTGGCATGTGTAGGGCCTGTTAGGGGTGATCTAGCAGAACAGGGGAGTCCTCCTGAAACACTGACCTGCCTTCATTTTCAACTCGGAAAATGAAAACAAGACTTGAGGATGTAAGAATTTAAAAATTCACTCCAGTAAAAAACAATGCTTGTTAAAAGAGAAAGGGAAATAGTGAAAGAACAGGAAACCCCTGTGTGAGGGATGCACATGCATCACAATCATCGAGGGCAATGGACGTCCTTCCCAGAAGGGGACACATTGCTGAGAGCACAGCCCCAGGACTTGCACAAATGAAGCCCGTGGGTCAGGGACATAACTGGAGGGAATCATTGATTTCTACGACGACTACAAGTGGTTGATGATTTTTCTGTATTTTTGAGATAGGGTCTTGCTCTGTCGCCCAGGCTGACATGCAGTGGGTGCAGTCATAGCTCACTGAAACCACGAACTCCTGGGTGGCAGTGATCCTCACACACCTGTTCCCTCTTGAGTAGCTGGGGTGAAAGGTGCCTGTCACTCTGCCAGTTGATATTTAAAGGTTTTTTTAAATAAAAGGCCTCACTGTGATGCCCAGAGTGGTCTCAAACTTCTGGCCTCACGTTATTGTCCCATCTTTGCCATTGGTGGGATTATAGCCATGAGCCAGTGAATGCAGATACTTGGTTGATTAATATCCTCTGTAAGCTCTGTCTGAACTGAAAGTAAACTTGTTCTTTCGTGGGTGGAGGAACAAGTTTAGTCTCAGTTCAAACAGAGCTTACAGTGGATATTTGGCGTTATTCAGTCTCTGAAACCACGGTCTCTAATGTCCTTCCCTAGCAAATCAGTATCTGCACACTCCTGTCCCAAGATGGGAAGAATAGCCTGGGTTGGGAGCAGGGAAGCTGAGCCTTGGAGGCAAGAGCCAGTGATAACTCTGTGCAGACCCCAACTGTGAAATCATCACCCCTAGTCTGCATTCCTCTTCCTCACTCTTACTGGGAAGAGACATCTACTGATCACACATTCCACTCTCATAAGTGATCTGAAACAAGTCCTCGATAACTCACAATCCCCAAGATCCCCACCAGGTAAGCCACCTGGGATCCACATTGACACACATGAAAGGACACACAAGCTTCTTCATCAAAGGTGCTGCTGTGTGGGGAGGAACATTTACATGCACAGAAAGCCACATGCATGTTCCCACTTCAACACACAGTAACATCCCAGCACACACACCCACAGACACACAGAGCCACTCTACTCACTGAGTCACACACACTTGCTCACTGTGCACATAAGATGCACATGCGCTGGTCTGGCTGTGCTCACACACACTTCACAGTCATGAAGACAATGCACACTCACTCCCTTATACTCACACACACACCTGCTCAACCTGGTGGGCCATCCACCTCCCACATAAAGTCACATCATCTCAGCAGATTTCGCTCTCATCAGACATTATCACATGCTCACAGAGGGTTACACTGGTCCAGGGTCCACACACCACACCCCACAGGCATCTCAGATACCGTAGCCTCAGGGTTTCTCTTCCACACACCCACAACTGTCAGTAAAGCATTCACAGAAGCAATGCTCATATTTTCATCTCATAAAATCTCCCAGTTTTTTTGTTGTTGTTGTTGTTTGTGTGAGTTGAGATTATTGAAGGCTGTGCCTTTTCAACTCACGGGTATAGATGACATTGGTCTCTCTGTCTGGGCGTCTCTTCGGAATTGTGTCCAGTCTTCTGAGTGATTCTCTGAGTTGCAACATTTAAATGATCCATTATAGCCGTGCCCTCTGGCTTCATTCCAGATTCCACGCTCCTCCCAGAAGACTTTCCTTGCAGCGTGAGAAAAGCTAAGGTGTCAGGAAGAAACTCAGTCACAACCATAGCTACTTGCAAGACTGTGTCTGTAATGCCTCAGAAATTACCATGGGGGAGGTACCAGGCTGTAGATTGGGTTACCAGAGAGATGCATAGATAAGAATGATGGCGTTAGGGGAAGTGATTGTAAAGTCCAGCCTTTATGCCTCTCAAGCCTTTTCTCCACTATGCAGAATCTACCCAGAAGGTGTACATTTTCCCAATCTTGTACAATGGCTAAAAAAAAAAAAAAAAAAAAAAAAAATTGGGAGATTTGGGGGAAACACGTTAGCTCTAGAAGGTAATTCTTCTCTCTGCCTTTAAACATTCCATGAGAGCACTGACCTTGATCCTCAGGAGGATCTAGGGAGAGAAGTAGAGAAAGTTCCTGCATGAACCTGCCCTATACTAAGCTGCTTGGTTCTGCCAGGTGAGGGCCACTCTCATCTGACTGTCACATACCTGGATTCTAGCTACCCCCTCTCCTTTCTCTTGGTGTTCAAGTAAATCAAAGTTTCAGAAACACTGTTTCTCCTGCAGATTCTGGGAGAAAGGTGAGATTGTTTATTTTTTTTTTAACTTTTATTTTAGGATCGGGTATGGCATGGTGATAAAGTTGTGTCATGGGGTTTGCTGTACATATAATTTCTTCATCTGGGTACTAAGCGTGGTACCCAATAGTTATTTTTTTGCTTCTATTGCACCTTTCACCCTCCACCCTCAAGTAGGCCCCACTATTTATTGTTTCCCTCTTGGTGTCCATGAGTTTCATTATTTAGTTCACACTTAAAGTGAGAATATGCAGCATTTGGTTTTCTGTTCCTGCATTAGTTTGCTAAGAATAATGGCATCTAGCTCCATCCATGTTCCTGCAAAAGACATAATCTCATTCTTTTTTGGGACTGCATAGTATTCCATTGTGTACTTATACCACATTTTCTGTATCCAGTTTGTCCTTAAGGGGGATTTAGGTTCATTACGTGTCTTTGCTCTCGTGCATAGTGTTGCAATGAACATTTATGTTCATGTGTCTTTATGGCAGAATGATTTCTGTTCCTCTGGATAGACACCCAATGATGGGATTGCTGGGTCAAATGGTAGTTCTGTTAGCTCTTTGAGGAATCACCATACTCCTTTCCACAATGGATGAACTAATTTACACTATCACCAACAATGTGTAAGTGCCCCCTTTTCTTCACAACCTTGCCAGCATCTGTCCTTTTTTGACTTTTTAATAAGAGCCATTCTGACTGGTGTGAGGTGGTATCTCATTGTGGTTTTGATTTGCATTTCTCTAATGTTCAGTGATGTTGAACTTGTTTTGTATGCTTCTTGGCCACCTATATGTCTACTTTTGAAAAGTGTCTGTTCCTGTCCTTTCCTCACCTTTTTACGTTGCTGTTTTAAAACAAGTCTCACTCTGACACTCAGGCTGGAATAGTGTGGCACCATCTGGAACCTCTGGCTCCTGGGCTCAGGTAATCCTCCCAGCTCAGCCTCCTGAGTAGCTGGGACTACAGGCTCATGTCACTATGCCAGGCTCATTTTTTCTATTTTTAGTAGAGATGGATTTTTGCCATGTTGTCCAGCCTGTTCTCAAATTCCTGGGCTCAAGCGATCCACCAGCCTTGGCTGCCCAAAGTGCTACAATTATAGGCATGATCCACTGTGCTGAGCCCTTTACCCGCTTTTTTATGTTTTTTTTTTTTATTGTAAAGTTGTTGAAGTTTCTCATAGATGCTCAGATATTAGACCTTCTTCAGATACATAGTTTGAAAATATTTTCTCCCATTCTGCAGGCTGTTTACTCAGTTGATAGTTTCCTTTGCTGTGCAGAAGTTCTTTAGATTAATTAGATTCCGTTTGTCAATTTTTGCTTTTGTTGTGATTACCTTTGAAATCATCATAAAATCTTTGTTCATGCCTATGTCCTGCATGGTATCACCTAGGTTGTCTTCCAGTGTATTTGTAGCTTTGAGTTTTACATTGAAGTCTTTAATCCATTTTGAGTTGATTTTTGTATATAGTATAAAGAACGGGTCCAGTTTCAATATTCTGCATATGGCTAGCCAGTTCTTCCAGCACCATATCTTGAATAGGGAGTCTTTTTTCCATTGTTTGTTTGGTCAGCTTTGTTGAAGATCAGATGCTTGTAGGTATGTGGCCTTATTTCTGGGCTCTCCACCTGTTCCATTGGTTTAGATGTCTGTTTTTATACCCATACCATTCTGTTTTGGTTACTGTAGCCTTGTAGTATAGTTTGAAGTTGGGAAATGTCATGCCTCTAGCTTTGTTTGTTTGTTTGTTTGTTTGCTTAGAATTGCCTCAGTTATTTGGCTTTTTTTTTTTGTTCCATGTGAATTTTAAAGTAGTTTTTTGTTTTCTAATTCTGTGAAGAATGTCATTCCCAGTTTGATAGGAATAGCATTGCATCTTTAAATTTCTTTGGGCAATATGGATGTGGAGAAATAGGAATGCTTTTACATCGTTGGTAGAAGTGTAAATTAATTTAACCATTATGGAAGACAGTGTGGCAATTCCTCAAGAATCTAGAACCAGAAATACCATTGGACCTAGCAATCTCATTACACCCAGTGTGGTCTAATGGGATTTACACCATTTACTTGAGCAAGCAGCTGCTCAATATGCCAAGAACATGGACAATTTACCCATTTTCCCAAGTGGGAAAAAATTATAAATTATTCTGCTATAAAGACACATGAACACATGTGTTCATTGCAGCAGTATTCACAACAGCAAAGACTTGGAACCAACCCAAATGCCCATCAATGGTAAACTGGATAAAGAAAATGTGACACACATAAATCATGGAATACTATGTATGCAGCCATTAAAAATGATGAATCCATGTCCCCTGCAGGGACATGGATGAAGCTGGAAGCCATCATTCTCAGCAAACTAACACAGGAACAGAAAACCAAACACCACATGTTCTCACTCATAAGTGGGAGTTGAACAATGAGAACACATGGACCACAGCCAGGGGCACATCACATCACACACCGGGGCCTGTCAGGGGCTAAAAGGCAAGGGGAGGGATAGCATTAGGAGAAATAGCTAACGTAGATGACGGGTTGATGGGTGCAGCAAAGGCATGCAAATGGCCAACAAACATATGAAAAAATGCTCAACATCACTAATGATCAGGGAAATGTAAATCAAAACCACAATGTGATACCACCTTACTCCTGCAAGAATGGCCATAATAAAAAAAAATCTAAAAAATAATAGATATTGGAGGGGATGAGGGGGAAAGGGAACACTTTTACACTGCTGGTGGGAATGTAAACTAGTACAACCACTATAGAAAACATTGTGGAGATGCCTTAAAGAGCTAAAAGTACAACTACAATTTGATCCAGCAATCTCACCACTGGGTATCTACCTGGCAGAAAATAAGTCATTATAAAAAAAAGATACTTGCACATGCATGTTTATAGCAGCACAATTCACAATTGCAAATATGTGAAACCATTCTAAATAACCATCAATCAATAAGTGCATAAGAAAACTGCAGTATATCTATATATGATGAAATACTACTCAGCCATAAAAAGGAATGAGTTAATGGCACTAACAGCAACCTGGATGGGATTGGAGACTATTATTCTAAGTAAAGTAACTCAGGAATGCAAAATGAAACATCGTATGTTCTCACTTATAAGTGGGAGCTAAGCTATGAGTATGCAAAGGTATAAGAATGATGGAGTAGACTCTGGGGATTTGTGGAGAAAGGGAGAGGAAGAGGTAAGGGATAATAGACTACAAATTGGGTTAAGTGTATACTGCTTGGGTGATGGGTGCACCCATATCTCACAAATATCCATTAAGAGACTCAGGAACCCACATATCACATGTCCCACCAAAACCTGTAGAAATAAAAGGTTTTTAAAAAGATCAAGAAAAGATCACACTGGAGAATACCATGTAGGAGAAGAGATATCATCATGAACATCTTTGTAAAATACAATTTGCCACATTCTTCAAGGCAAAATTAAAAAACAAAACAAAACACTGCTCAGAGAAATCTGAGAGGACACAAACATATGGAAAAACATTCCATGCCCACGGATAAGAAGAACCAATATTATCAAAAGGGCCATAATTCCCAAAACAATTTGCAGATCCAGTGTGATTCATATAAAATTACCAATGACATTCTTCAAAGAGCTATATAAAACTATTTTTTAAAAATTCTCATGGAACAAATACAGCCCTAATGATAAAGGCAATCATGAGCATAAAGAACAAAAGAGGATACATCATGCTATCTGACTTCAAATTATACTACAAAACAGCATAGTATTGGTAGACAAACAGACACATATGGAACAGAGCAGAGACACCACAGATAAGGCCACAAACTTGCAACCATCTGATTTTCTACAAGCTGACAAAAACACGCAATGGGGAAGGGACTCCCTGTTCAACGAATGGTGCTGCAATAACTGTGTAGCCATAAGCAGAAGATTAAAACTGGACACCTTCCTTATACCATTCACAAAAATCAAGTTAAGGTGGATCAGAGACTGAAATGTATGACCCAAAACTATAAAAACCCTAGAAGACCACCCAGGCAATGACATTCTGGATATGGGAATGGGGAAAGAGTTCATGATGCAGGTGACACAAGCCATTGCAACAAAAGCAAAACTTGACAAATGGGATCTAATTAAACTAAAGAGCTTCTGCACAGCAAAGGAAACTATCAACAGAGTAAACAGGCAACCTACAGAATAGGAGAACGTTTCTCCAAACTATGTATCAGACAAAGTTCTAACATTCCACATCTATATGGAATTTAAGGAATATACAAGAAAAAAACAATTTTATTAAAAAATGAGCAAGAGATATGAACAGATACTTCCACAAAGAAGACATACATGTGGCCAGCAAGCATATGAAGAAAAGCTCAACATTTCTGTTTATTAGGGAATACAAATCGGAACAACAGTGAGATACCCTCTCACACCAGTCAGAATGGCTATTATTTAAATGTCAAAAAGTAATAGATGCTGGCAATGTTGCAGAACAAAAGGAATGCATATTCATTATGGTAGGAGTGAAAATTAGTTCAATCATTGTGGAACACAGTGTGATAATTCCTCAAAGACTTAAACATAGCTACCAATTGACCCAGCAATCCCATTACTAGGTATATACCCAAAGGAAGTATAAATCATTCTATCATAAAGACATATACATGTGTATGTTTGCTGCACCACTATTCACAATAGCAAAGACATGGAATCAATCTAAATCCTGGTTGGTTGCTATAGGCACTAGGGCTGAGTGGAGATGAAACTGAAAGCTTGTTTTGTGGCATGCTGTATTTCTGATGCATTTTTCCTCTGGTAGGTAATGGTAAATGGCAGACTGTTACAGCATTGTCCATAAACTCCCACCATGTTATGTGAAGATGGTGCAAGTGTGATGATGTCTCTCTGATCTCAATGTGTGTCTGTGATTGAGGGTGATCTCCACACTCCCTGTTGTTGAGGAACAACAGAAATTCCGCATTTCTTTGTGACCATGGTATTTCCAGAGCCTGCTAACAGAATGATCTCTTCTCATGCCTTCCTCTTCCCTTGGTCAATAAAACTTCACTACATTTTCCAGGATCTGGTTTTTACTTTAATAAGGAAAAAGACAAAGTGACACAAGCACACAAGTGAGGCAGGTAGTGAGTCACAGGACCACTGGAATGTCTGAGATGACAAAACGAACAACATCCTCTACAGCCCGTACTTTACGTCAGACACTCTGAACCAAAATTCTTCCTTCATTTTAGACGACTCATTGCAGTGAAATGTTAGGTATCTATTTACAACCACACAGGCATAAATGGCTTTGGGTAGAGACTTTATAATTTGATGAAAGTCAGGTAAAATATCTTAATTCTTCATTCATCCTAAGAATGTTTCTTTTATCTTGAAACTGCCTAGATTGGTGTGGGATGCACTGAAGGAATTGAAAGAAAAATTTAGGAAAGTTTACATCAGTGTTTGGTTTTCTGTTCTTGTGTCTTTTAGGGGGTTGGGGACTAGAAGAGGGATAGCAGGGGGTGGGGAGATTAGGAAGGATAACATTAGGAGAAATACCTAATGTAGGTGACGGGAGGATGGAGGCAGCAAACCACCATGGCATGTGTATACCTATGTAACAATCCTGCAAGATCTGCACATGAACCCCAGAACTTAAAGTATAATTTTTAAAAAATGAAAAAAAAAGCAAAACAAAAACCGACAACAAAAGAAGAAAGTTTACATTGGAAGTTTTCAATCCAAGCAATAATTAGAGAATACCAGTTCAATCATTTCCTTTAAATAATCTTTTTTTTTTCGAAAGAATTTCCAGGTTTTTCCATTTTATGTGGGTAGAATCCTAAGATTTCTCTTGTAAACAAATGGTCATGGTTTTAGATCAGAAAATAAGTGGTTTATTGGTGGAATTGACACAATTCATACAAATGGACACAGTGAACACATTCTGCTTTACTGCTGTTACTGTTGGCACTGCAGCACAGGCAACCTCCCAATACCTGTTGGCTTAAATCAATCATTTATTCTGATTTCTCCCAGCTTTGTAGTTTTAGTGGAAGGAAACATGTAGATGATAGATCATGTAATTGGTGTCTCAATTTCAGAAAGATCTATAGTCAGAGATTTCAGAGATGCTTTACTCATGTCCAACTCAACACAAGAGTGGCTGAACACCTGGGGGCTGGTTCTTTATTTCCTTCCCTACCTCATCTCCAAATTAGTGCCTTGAATTTCCTGAAATCCTGAAATCATAATCAATGATTGGCTTCCACCAAAAAAAAAAAAAAGGCTTCCAAAGTCTCAGGAAAAAGGTGCAAGGCATCATAGTCCTTGGCTTTGAAAGGCAGGCGATGTGACTTCTATATTGATCAAGGTGTCACAAAGAAAGCCCAAATTAAGGTAAGGGAAATCCACAAGCTGTGGTTATTTTGACTTGTCATCATGATGGGGCCATCTTTGGAAATGAGTTCCACTTAGCCTCCACTGGCTGATATGCTTCCCACATCCCCAAAACACTTATCTTCTGAAGAACCCCAGAAAACAATACAATACAGGAACAGGCTCAGACTGAAGTTCAGTATTTTATTATCTAAATCCAGACCTGGTATTCATGAGGTGAGTACAAACTATCAGGTGCACTTTTTCTCAACATTTTCACTAAAGAGATAAATTATTTACCCTATACAAATCAAGCACACAATACTGAAAGAGAAATAGAAAAAATGCAATGAACATATCTATTTTATAGTGTCCACAGAAAATAGACAGCAGTCACTGGTTTATATAATTACAGAAACCAGCCAGATGCTTAATTTCATTTCTTCTGGGAATGTTTGTCTGCAGCAATTAGCTCCACCCTCCAGTCTTAACTTCTCGGAATTCCCATCAAGATGGCCGAATCACAGCTCTTTTCCTTCTACAAGAGCTGTGATTCAGGGAGGGGAACATCACACACTGGGGCCTATTGTGGGTAGGGGAGCTAGGGGAGGAATAGGAGGGTGTGAGGGGATTGGGGAAGGATAACATTAGGAGTAATGCTGAATGTAGATGATGGGGGAATGGATGCAGCAAACCACCAAGGCATGTGTATACCTGTGTAACATATTCTGCATGTTCTGCACATGTACCCCAAAACTTAAAGTATAACAATAATTTTTTAAAAATAGAAAGAGCTGTGATTATATGCTTCTGTGCACATCTAAAGAACCACTTAGGAGAAATGACATATTACCTACAAACTAAAATATGCAAATGGAAGAGGATTCCATCAAATGGCCTCTCTTCCACAGGACTCATCTCAGGCATCATTTTGATTCTCCACATCCTCCCTCCCCTTGTTCATTCCAATAGCTCACTCAACTCCAGTTCTACTCATGGGTATGCTTCTCTCCTTACACACCTTTAACCTAACTTCCAGATACCTTGAGGTGCCAAACCACAGCTAATCAAGCTCTGCACAGCTTTCTCCCTCATTTCATTCCAGTATGAAATAAAATTCCTTCTCTCACTGGAAACTCTTGGATTTTGAATAGGTACACTCTTCTTCGTATACCTTCCCTGTCTCAGTCTGGATTAGTTTTATATTTTGATAATGGATTATAGGCCCCATCACCAGCATGGAATTAATTTCTTGTGGAATTAAGAAATTTTTGCTCTGAGTAAATGAAAATCATCCTAGGACCCATGGCTTGCTGTACAGAAAATGCCTTTAATTTCATATCGACTTGTCTCTTGGCTGGTAGCTATTGTATGTGAATAACCTACACAGTCCTACATATTGGCTTTGCTATACAAACACATAGTGAATGCCCTTTCTTGAATAATGTTCATCAGCTAAGTGCATGTTGGCCATTGGCTGTGCTCATCTTTATCTCGGATACTACTCTGTGCTCATAGTAGCCAGGAATGCTTCAGATACAAAAAGAAAACACAGAGTTCAGGAGTCAATGTTCAACAAACAATATGTGAATTGCCTCTGGGGACCTACTCAACAACTTTCTCTCTCCTCCTCAATCAAAATTCCTAATATTCTCCCAGCAAATAGGGCTTTGCTGCCTAAAAAACAAAAAGTCATTTCTGAACTCTAAAGCCTTCCCTTCTGAAAGGTCTTTAGGTCTTTCCAGTTATTGCTAAAGCCCCCCAAGGAATAAATCTGCTTTGTGACACTGTTGTCCTTGATGCCCAGATCGTCAAAGTGATTAAAAACAACAAACAAAAAACAAAACAAACACACCTTTCTGGTGCTGTTCATGGTGCTGAACATTGATGCATCTATTTGCAAGTGACGAGCCAACAAGATAGAATAAGAGAGGGGCTTTGTTTTGTTTTTGACGAATTATAGCCCAAAATCTCTATAATGGATGCAGCCAGAATTCATTTTGGATTTTCAAATGAAAATTTGTGATTTATTTTGTTAGCATGAATTTTAATGCTACAGGGTTTAAGATAGGAGAGAAGCTCAATTTTTAATTTAGTAATCCTTATATGGTTCACTCAATAATTATGAAAATCTTACCCTTTCCCCTTAAATAGACACAACATAACTTTGGTTGTAACTCAATATGAGTTGACAATTATTCTGAATACTAAAATACATGTTCTAGCTATATGGAGAGGAGGTAAGAATTAAGCAAAAGTGACAAACAGTATCAAAAACAGAAGAGATATGCCACAACATGGTTTTGCTGCTATATTTATATGTTATTTTTAGAGAGCACAGAATGAGTTAAGAAGTTCTCAGAGGTATCATAAAGGCTAGATTTCTATCAGAAAAACATGGATGCCAATGTAAAAGGTTTACACTTTCTTCTGAAGACATCTGTGAGCTCTGGAGAGCTACCAAAGAAAAAAGTGCCTTGATCATCGTTTGACAGCAGAAACTATCTATTAGATGGAATAAAGAACAAATGCCAAGTGTCTGCCACACCTGAAAATTCAATGTGAATTTCTCTGCAGTGTGGGAGGAAATATTGATGAGGGAGTTGGGGGATGTCAATGGCAACAGGCACAGAGAAGATGTTCAGCGTATGTGTGTGAAGGGAATACAGAAATGAGCATGTGAGCAGATATGCCCAGTTATAACTGGAAGAACCAAGGGGACATTGTTTCTCCTGGATTCTTGTGATATTTCCTTCTTCTTCCTTGGTGGCTGCTATGGTTTGAATCTGTGTCCCAAAGTTCATGTGTTAAAAAGTTAATTCCCAATGCAAGTGTTTTGAGATGGTGTGTAATAAGAGATGATTATGTCACAAAGGCTCTGCATTATTAGATCAATTCCATTTTCACTGGACTGGGTTAGTTATTATGAAAGTAAGTTTATTATAAATGCAAGTTTGGCCTTGTCTTGCTCTCTTGATCTCACTCCTTGTCATTCCACCTTCTACCATGAAATGGTAGAACAAAGGCCCTGGCCAGATGCTTGTGCTATGTTCATGGATATTCCAGCCTCCAGAATTGTGCCAAATAAATTACTATTTGTTAT